ATCCAGCCACAGCAACTTTTACAGAAAACATTATTAGACCTGATGAAGACATAACTATATTTTCCCCTAATTCTTGAGGCTACTGAAAATATCTTTAAACAAATGTTATTTGCCCTATTTTAGGAAAGAGACATAAGGATATCAATCTTAGTGTTCCTGCTGAAAACCTCTATATTTCACTTATATGGTAGAATGATATTGGTATTCTGCCTACCACACTCCTCCTGAGATATATCCAGCAGGCAGCCATTAAACCCCCACTATGAACTGTCGTTATAAATACTGGTGACTCCGTGTCTGTGTATTAGGTCTGGAATGTGTTTTATATTTATTGTATTGTCTATAAATTGTCACAACTTATTGGGTCTCTGAACATCTATAAGTTTTCTATCCTCAGCTCCTTTCACTCCAATAACCAACAGTTATATTTGAACAAGTCTCGCGTGTTTGAGGACCGAAGCTTACAGAAATTGGTCCCCGTAATTGCACTGTTAGTGGCAATGTAACATGACTTTTGCAAATCGGCTTTTCGTCCTGACAGACTCTAGATTTCCAACCTTGTCGCAGTTGTTTGCCAATGTTGGAAATTTGCTGTTATCGATCTGCCAGGGGATGGTTCCTTTGTCACGATAGCTCTTTAGATAAGAAACTTTGCTGTGATACGGAAGATATGAGTTTTGTTTTCTACTATTACCACTATGGATCTTACTTAACCTCCGATCATAGCATTTGATGAGTGAATATGTTATAAAGTAGGTTGTTCTGCTCTTTGAAGTTTTAGTATTATTGTTTTCTTGGACCCATGCACCAACTTAACAGAAATTTAAAGAAAAAGGATAAATTCTTGAACATATGACATTTGTTTATCAAGCAAGTTGGGAGTGGGTGTGAAGGTGTAATGCCAACAGGGTTAAGTGGATGTATCTTTATTGCCTTAAACAAAACATCAACATGACACAACCTGCCTAATGTATTTTATCATAAATCAGCAAAAACTCTGATGCAGATTGAAGTTTGTTTATAGATGTCTACTTTCAGGGATTTGCTACAAACATCTGCCCGTATCTTACCCCTGTGTATTACTGTGTACCATCAGGGAATCCAATATACAAATTTCTCATGATGTCAGATAAAAATCTATCTGTTATCTTAGTGAGATTAAACCTAACTGTGTCAATATTTACTGTCTGCTCTCACTTCCAGTGATCTTATCCATGACCAGTTAATCACTGCAATCAACAAGGCCGATCCTTCCCACCAGGATTCGGCCATCAATTCCCCACACACAGGCATGAGTGACAAGCAGACATATTTTAACAACAGTTTAAGCCCATTAATCTAATATTTTACATTTGAAGATTTTGTTCCAGGTAGATTTCCTACCAGATTTCACTCATGTTTTCTATTTGGTACATCAGCTGGGATTGCCAAAGATTAATTTATTTTCCATTTTACAAATAGTTCGTACATATGTGGCTGAATGCTTATACCAAAATGGCTATCTCTGCAGATGAGATACCAACATGGACTCTTTAGATATTTATTCCCTTCGTTCCCGTGGTGTTGTTTGGGGAATTTTTTCGGCAGTACAAGCAGTGATAATTACACTGATATCTCTCAGGTGTATAGAGATATTCCTTTTTTTATTACGGAATGAAGAGGAAAGCATGTTGTGTAGGCTCTGTAACAAGAACACAAACTAATCTGTTGATAAAGGTTCTGGAATGAGGCTAGTAATTTGTGAACACGTTTTTCTGCTAGTCCTATTAGTAACAGGACTCGACTCTGTAAAGGGGTTTTAGTAGTCTGCAAAGTTCATTTGCCTCCGTGTAAAGTTCATTGGTGATGGGTATTCCTTAGAATTGTAAAGGTCAGTTAGTAAGTATCCAACAGGTGTTCTAGGTATAGGTGTAAATCTAATACAAAAAATAAAAATCATGGTCAATGTTTTTGTTTACACCAAAAAGTTTTGATTATACCTATTTTTTTATAATGTCTAATTTTACATTTTCTGTATGATCATGGCCATACCCTGTCGTTGATGTCTTGTTGTACTCAATCAGCATGACACTGTTGCTCACCTTGTATCTAAATCAGTGTAAGAGGCGGAAGATAAAACAATGAAAACAGTGCTTATACAGTGTATAGTTAACAAGGTGATTTTATGTTAGAAGGTAACATCATGTTAGTGGTTATACAAGGCTGAACCCTTTCACCCCTATGTAACTTTAGTAGTAGACTCTACTATGCATTGATATTTATGAGTCCCATTATGGTTTACAGCAGTGAAACGGTTAACCAGATTACACTTTGTAACTGTAATCTCTTTGTTAGTGTAATCTCATAAACTTTATAACCACTATATGTTAGCAGTGTTTATAATATTGAATGAGATTGAATTATGTTATTGGCTATAAGGTTTAACAATATTTCATTATATAAGAAATGGTTAAAAGCTTTCAGATTGCACACTTCATTATAAAGCTTAATGCGATTAAATTTTAATATTACTGAACAATATTTATCTAAATGTTAACAAAGGCACTAAAATCTTAAAAATGTATGAAAATCATATTTGTTTTGTTTTAAATTGTAGAGTCCATGATGGAATCTTACTTGTATGATTGATGGAAAATATAAAAGACACGTATATAAAAAAAGTGTTTTTGATTGAAATCACATGATATATAAAGCAGAAAATCAATAATTGTGATTGAAATCACATGATATTCAGCAGAGAATCAATAATTATATTATGATTGAAATCACATGATATTCAACAGAAAATCAACAACTAGCTGTGATTGAAATCACATGATATTCAGCAGAAAATCAATAATTATATTATGATTGAAATCACATGATATTCAGCAGAAAATCAATAATTGTGATTGAAATCACATGATATTCAGCAGAAAATCAATAATTATGATTGAAATCACATGATATTCAACAGAAAATCAACAACTAGCTGTGATTGAAATCACATGATATTCAACAGAAAATCAATAACTGTGATTGAAATCACATGATATTCAGCGGAAAATCATTAAAAAATTTGGTGAAACCAAGAATTGTTGATGACGGTCAGATGACCATTGCACTTTAAAGAAATGTTTACCGTTGTCATTAGTTGGAACAGAGAGATATTGGGAAAGGAGGTCTATAATGACAGAAACAATGTCTGCTGTTTGGCACCAGAGCTCCCTAACATTTGTCTTATTAATAACCTCATATCGGTTTACTAGCAATTTGAAAGGTTTCTTACTCAAAACCATCTTTGAATTGTGTTTGTCAGGAAATGCAGTGTGCTTTCCTTAGCATTAGAGTATTTATTTATTACTCTGTTTCCATGGTAACATTGACCAAGGCCAAGAGTTCACTCAAGGTCATACACTTGCTGCCCAGCTGTATTTCTGGATAAGAGTTTCTGGTGGAACATTTCCTGAATATACAATCTTTATCAGTTTTATTTAGTATGCAACTTATCATGAAGTAAATTTGGATTCCTTTTTCCTGAAATAGGTTCTTACGAGTTTAACCTGTACAAAGAGGGGTAGCAATACTTCTTCGTTGTAAGATTATTTTTTCTGTACATACTGTGGACTGGTATGTTTTACAGTACTAGTGGCGAGTTTGATGGTCTGGTTACTGTTTCATTATAATTCACTGTGTTTAATGGTATGATCCTGGAGGTAACCAATGACAAATATCACAATTATCTGTAGGTTGTAAAACTGGAGATCAAACTACATGTAAAACACCAGTAAAACACTGTCACTATCTGAGCCTAGTTGCAGAGATGATATAATGTTACTGGTGTTTTATTAGGTAGGTAATGATCGTAAAAGATCTATAGGCCTAGGAGTGTGCTCTGGTGTGTCGTGGCTGTATACCGTGCTAGTGAAGGGACATCTTTGTGAGATACAGTTATTAAGTGGCGTCACAAGCTCTGAGCAGACGTTTAGTTTCAATTAAGCAAAGTGTTCATTAGTAACTGTTTAACATGTTGTTATCACTCTGTAATGGCTGATCACTGAGACCTGTCAGCGTTAATTTACATCTGTGATTCTAAGACTGATAATGTTTATTTTATATAAGCATGATGTATGCTTGCCTGCTGTGAGCGTGACTATAGGGATGGCAAGGAAATACCTGTGTGATGGATTTAAGTGTCCTGCCAATAATTCTTTACTTCTTGCAATTGTGTTTTGTTCCTATTCAATGAATTCATTGTTAAAACAGCTTATTGCGTTTTACACTATCATTTTGTCAAATAAGGATTAATGCAAGTACATTCAAGATATTTTAAGATTTTACCACATGATACAGTTTCTGATTCCCCCAATAAATAAAAATATGTCTTAAGAGATAATTTTGAAGAGTTACATCCCTTTATTTTAAAATAAATCATTGCTACTGATACATTTTCTTGCTGCTGAACGAAATGATATGTACCTAAATACCACATAATTATGTGTGTATTTACCTTTGTACTTTTGTTCAATTTTTCTTTTAGATATACATTAATTTCAAAGAACAATTGTGATTCTTTTAAAAACCATTGTCTGGGCAACTCCTTCAAAATGAATGAAAATTTAATGCATAAAGTCTACCTTTATGTAATTTTGTACCAGGAAATGACTTTGTATTTTAACCCATTTTAGTGTAGAAGGGTGTGAGTTAGCCTGGGACATCAATTCTAGTTGGTGTTCTACAGGGTGACATGGTTGACCTATGTGTTTACATCAGTACCTTGTTTGACCTAGATAAAAGGTAAGATAACTCCATCAGTAATATTTTTGGGGTTGTGAGGTGAGAAATAATGAGCTTTGTTTATAATTGGTACCTAGTTGCTCCACACCAACTTTCTAGCACATCAAAATGCCAGTCTTATGTTTGTAGGTCGTTAACAGGTTATTCCAAGTCCAAGCTTGTGTTCTATTCCTTATGTATGATGTAGTGCTATTATGTTCATAAAGAATTCTGTTTTCTTTCAGCAAATACTTCTAGCTGACTTTCTACCGAGTGATTAGTGAATGGAGTTAGACAGACATTCTCCACTACTTCTAAAGGTAATAGTCTACAGAAGTGTTATCGTCCTATTATTCTGTAATATCCATGTTTTGTTGTGTGTTGTAACTGTTCCCCTTCCATTCATTTTTATATGCTGTATCTGAAGATGGAAGTAGTTTCAAATTATTATCTGTACTTATGATGGTATCATGGTTACAATAAGTGTATACTTGCTGAGGTTCATGTATTCAGAGGTTTGTTAACCACGGTGGAGTTCTGTGCCTGATTAATTCTTTAAATCGCCTGCTGGACTTCAAAGTAAAAATAAAAAAACAGTTTTGTTGTTTAGTTGTTAAGTGGTTTCTGAGAGAGAAAAACCCAGTCATGACTGAAATTAATATTACAGACATGATAGATAGACCCTTACAAAATTTATCAAAAACCTGATGCCCCAGTGCCCAATAAACTCGCCAAAGAGATGATAGATCATTATTAACTACCTCGGATTAGTCTGTATAGTCGTTTCACAAATATTGGTATTCATTGTAAAACAAGAAACATATTACTGTAAAGGCCAGGAAATTGATTTACAATTCCTTGTTAACTGTACTTTTATTATTAGTTTGTACTCTAAAGCCTTAAAAACCAATCAGGAGAATTACATGCTTTGGGTTGAATTTGATAGTTGAAATGATTATGTACGGAACGTAAGCACATTGTCATTGGCTAAGCTTTCCAATCCATGAGAAATGGGAAATGCCTGATTCTTCAACTCATCAGAGGAACAGTTAAATGGGAAACATTGTTTTGAAGTTGTATGAGTGGCTTATTGGTTAGCATTCAAAGCTTGTGATTGAAGGGTCGGGACATCGACAAGACGTCTGCTTTCAATTACTTGTTTTCAATTTGTGGTAGACTGGTGTATATTTCTAGAAATGAATTGAAGTTTATGATACACAATTCAAAAATACATTTCACAAATTCATTGTGTTTTGTCCTTGATTGAACTCCATTATTATGTTGCAGATCAGAAAAAACTTTTCCCCGAGAAATGTCAAAGAAATATTCCTGTGATAGTAGCTGAAATATTTCAGAGAGTCAGAAATGATTTTCTCTTTAGTAGCTGATGTTCTGACCACAGCAAGCCCATGAATTATCACAAACAGCTACATCTGTTTTAAAAGTGGGTACACTTCATTCAGATATTGTGATGCTGTTTTTAGTAACTCACATTGAAGTGAGTTCGTTTAGTTGTAAAGTTGCAGGCTATATCTAGTCGAAGAATCACGGAGTTCTGAGAGTGGTGCCTGATCACAGATTAACAAGTGGCTTTTTAAAGACAGAATATACCATGAGTTGCGGTGGTGTAAACATTTCACAGTGCCGCAGGTGTTTCATTGGCTGTGAAATTATTGCCAAGATTTATGGGAAATTGAGTACTTTTAAACTGCATGTTGCTACTCTTTAAAGTTTGAGGGTCTTTACAATCAGTTTCAAGCAATATACAAATTCCTATGATTACTTTCAGAAAACCTTTTGTAGTTCCACAGCATGGGAGAACTCGGTGAAACATTATGAGGAAATCACAAATCAATTTTTCATCATTGATTTTCATAATCGATTGATCCTTTTTCAGAATAAAGTAGACTGTATTGTTCTAATCATCACGTAAGGATTACGTTCACACCCGCCCATTATGCTTGTAATGCCTCATTGGAAAGCATGCAATGTAAGTAGGAACACAGCCAAGCGGCACCAAACGTTTATCGGATCAACAGATCTGTGCTTGCAGACTGAGTGTCTTTAGCTCTTGGAAATCTGTAATAAATGGTGCCTTTCGATACACTGAACTAACGTGTAAACAATCCGTTGTTGCCATGAAGGCAACAAATGTTTTGGGGCAACCAAAAATCAGACTTCTGCGTTGCCAGGGGAAACACTTTGATCTGGGAATGGTTTTGTTGTAGTGTTCTTAAACTGGCAAGTCATTAGATACTTATAGCTACCATGTCAGTATCTGCAGTATTTGCCCTGTCTACAAAACAATACTTTGTGATAATTGGCCTTCTTTGAATATCCTCTTGTGGATGATGTCCATTTGACTGTCCCTCCAATCAGAAGATCATTCTACCCAAAAATGTCTGCTGAATTTGACATCAATCTTTTTCACAGCAAGCACTGTATTGCCAGTAAACAATGTGACAATATCTGGAATTATCAACATTTTTGCTAAACAGTAAAGATAGCAGTTAGTAGTAATGAATTGGAAGTATAAGACCTACAGTAAAACAAATCCTCCTGATTGTAGGGGCAGTACAAATCACCTCAAAGTAACAGGTGGTTTTAATCACTGGTGTCACAGACAATACGTGGATAATTGATTTCTGAATTTAAAACAAGTTAAAATATCAAACTGCTTTAATATTGCTGCATGTATGAGGATTTATATTTGTTTAGACAGGTTTGCTTTTTCAGCAATTGTGAGTAAAACTATTTCCCAGAGAGATTATAAACAGATACATCAATAGTTTGTTATAAATAACAGAGGTAATGGGAAAACAACTAAAACAGTTAAGAATAAAAGTTATATCAGAATTAAGATAATACTGTACCCCCGCCGGGTTGTATTTTTTGTAACTTCCCTTTATGTAAAAGTACACTAAACGTTAAACAAATCAATCTCGTTAAACAAATCAATCTCGCATTATTCCGTCTGAGAAAAATGGGTAATCTAGACAATCTCCAAATGTAATCCAGACAATCTCCAAATGTAATCCAGACAATCTCCAAATGTAATCCAGACAATTATAAAGTGAAGTCGTTCAGCTGCAGCTGGTTATTGGGGTTTAAATTCCCCGTGAGATCCAAACTCAAAACTCTGGCTATAAAATTTGATAAATTGGACATTATTGTTGCATTATTCAACAGTCATTTATATTATCTTTGGTTCAAATTATCCCTGGTGTGTGAAACTGCAGTAAATCTTGTGTGTTTGGAGACAGAAATTTTAACACTGCAGCAGTCAAAGTTTAACTGTGCTGTTATCTCTACACTATAAGTAATTAAGGTTTTACCTGTGACTGTAGTTAGGTATATATTTCAAGTTCAAGTTTCAAGTTCAAGTTTTATTCGAACTTTAGGCCTTTGGTCACGTATATAACAAACCTGTGTTAGGCAGGGATGTTACATGGCACTGAACAGTGTGAACAACATGTATATGGAAAGTTGGATGAACAATGTGTCCTAAGATTTTACTAGTCACCTGTAATCTTATTTGAGAATTAATTTAGTGTTCACACTAGATAGGAATTGTAACTTCCTCATCACTTTACAAGGATGTCTACCCCTCCCCAATCGCTATCTCTACCCCCCTCCTATCTAACGATGGTGCCACTATGATGCTTTTCCCCTAGGAGAATCTAATGAGGTATAAAGGGCCCTCCAACGGTTCCAGTGCACTTAATTGTTCCAGAGGAGATCTTATCCAAGACTTTTTCCCCTGGGAGTATCCTGTCCAATTACATTATATTCTATATCAGATAGNTGCTTTTCCCCTAGGAGTATCTAATGAGGTATAAAGGGCCCTCCAACTGTTCTAGTGCACTTAATTGTTCCAGAAGAGATCTTATCCAAGACTTTTTACCCTGGGAGTATCCTGTCCAATTACATTATATTCTATATCAGATAGAAATCATATTGTAACTTAGCATATTCCTATTTCCAAAGTGTTAAAGGTCTCCTCTAGATGTGGCTGTAGTCTCCTCTATCTCTGGTAAAAGGGATCTCCCCTAGTGGTTTCCCCTAGTTACAAGGATCTCCCCTAGTTACAGGGATCTCCCCTAGCTGTGCTTAGGGGTATATCAATCAAATTGAAAATGTTCCTTACAATTAAAAAACAAATGATATGGAATGATTACCAGTATATCTATAACCTGCATCGTCTGCACAGCAACATTTACTGTCATCTGAATCATGATGTAATGAGATGGACAGAATGTTGTCAGATACATAATGATTGATGTTGATTGATTGATTTTTAACCCTAAACAAATAATAATCCAGATTACCAAGTCACCTCGTTACGATAAATATGACCAATCAAGACCTGTGTTAGAACCCTAAGGTTTCAGTGACCTGTGATATAGGACCATACGAATAAGTGGTACTGTTACTGTTATGAACAGTTAATAGACATAAGTGTACAGGAATGGGAATCAACATACCTTGTGCTATTACATGTAATTCTACATGATGGTAAGTTCACTAGGTCCTTTATAATTGGTAAGCCCTCCCCCGCCACTTTCCTTTTTTAAACCATTTATCCCTAAAGTCACATTTGAACCTTACCAAATCAAAGATGGGGCAAGTCTAGTTTAAACATGTATGGGTGAATAAATCTACAACCCGTTCCCTTAAAGTACACTGCCCCTCCCCATCAACCTCTCCTACCCAGTGGGTTGGTTATATATCATAATATGCCTGATCTGGTGAGAGATTATAGAAACTTGATGTGTATGATTTGGTGTGTTTTATATTAATATCCTTGGGGGGGGGGGGGTAAATCCCTTAATTAGTTCATGATGTAATACAATACAGCCTGAATCCTCTCGATTATGTAATGGGATTATTACCTTACTTGCTCCTCTTTCACTGCTGAAACATCATCACTGATCAACTTCAAGTGTTACAAAGTGTCCAGACTAACAAGGTTCTACTGTACACAAACATAAGTGTCCATTCTACTGTACACAAACCTAAGTGTCCAGACTAACAAGGTTCTACTGTACACAAACCTAAGTGTACCAGACTAATATGGTTCTACTGTACACAGACCTAAGTGTCCAGACTAACAAGGTTCTACTGCACACACAAACCAAAGTGTCCAGACTAACAAGGTTCTACTGAACACAAACCTAAGTGTCCAGACCAACAAGGTTCTACTGCGCGCAAATTTAAGTGTCCGCACTAACAAGGTTCTACTGAACACAGACCAAAGTGTCCAGACTAACAAGGATCTACTGTACACACAAACCAAAGTGTCCAGACTAACAAGGTTCTA